ATGGGTCTGCGACCAGTGCCAAAAAGCCTTTCCATCCAAACGAGCCCTTGCCACCCACTCCGGTCGTGCACATGGCTACCGCCGTTTGGTCAAATTCTATGCCGTGGACCAAACCTGCAATGCTTGTGCCAAGACATATGCCACGCGCAAAAGGCTCATTGAGCACCTCCGAGATGCCACAGAGTGCCTACACACTTTACAGGCATGTTTCCCACCGCTGTCCGATGAACAGGTTGTGGCCTTTGATGCCATCGATCATGAAACCACCCTCGCGCTGCGTGCGCAGGGGTGGGGGGCTGCCAAAGCTCTGGCCCCAGCACGCAAAATCCATGGACCTTGCCTGCCTTCGGCGGGGTCGCAAGATGCCATACACATGCACCTCAAATGGAGCCAGCGCAACCCAACTGCAGGCTCCGGCTTTGAGCAGCTACAAGGTCATGCCCTCACCATGCACGAGGCACCGGAGCCCAAAGTTATACTGTTTGATGATGATCTGCCGGCTTTCGTATATCAATCTGAAGCTGGCATGAACCCAGGGGATGGCAGATTCTCCTTGCACGGGCTGGCGCGCGAAACAGCCAGGTTGCACATCCGCACTCAGGTCTTCGTGCACTTCTTCTCGGGTTACCGCAGAAGGGGCGACCTTCATGACCTGTTGGACCATCATGTCTTCCCACAGGGCCACCAGCTGTTTGTGCTCTCAGTGGACATGTGCCTACAGAGGGAAAGGGGAGATTTAGCATCCTCATCCTCGTTGACGTGGTGGATGGACCGCATCAAATCCGGACAGGTATGTGGTGCCGGGGGGCCCCCCCCTGCGAGTCATACTCTGCTGCCAGACTCCTGCAGGGGGGCCCCCCACCAGTGCGATCCGGCAGTTGGCCGAATGGGATCCCCAACATCCCGTTGAAAGCATGGAGACAGGTGATGATTGGATCCAGGCTCATGCGGTTCATCATCGATGTGGTGCTGCTTCTGGCCTTGACCGGGGGATGTGCGTTCATCGAGCACCCTCAATACCCTACCTGGGCCAAGGCGATGGATCCATCCAGTGTCTGGACCAACTCAGCCATGCGCCTGTTGCGAACGCTGCAAGCGATTGGCATCACGAGCTTTGACCAGTGCATTTTTGGATGTCGAGCCAAAAAGCCGACCACCATACTACATCTGCGCTTGCCACGTTTGAGGCAGAAGATCTTGACCACAGGATGCATGGGGCGGTGCTGTCATGGAGCATCAGCCCACGAAGCACTGGCAGGACAAGAGGAGGACGGAGCCTTCAAGACTGCCAGGGGCAAGGTCTACCCTCACGGCCTCAATTTGGCCATTGCACAGGCGGTAGCAGATTTTGTACAGCGCACCTTTTCGGTGACGCACACTCAGCAGATGCCAGCTGAGTTTGCAGACCTGGTAGCGAACGATTTTGTTGAGGATGACATCGTTCAGCCTGACTACTACAGCTGAACCATCCTCTGTACAGAGTAGCGCCAGGCCAAAGTGCAAGACCGAGCAGGGACACCCCTGCAGCACATGGAAATGAAAAAATGTCATCCTTCCCATTGACTCATATTTTCCAAGATGGTTATTGCACCACCAACCAGCACATGTTTATAGCCCAACCTATGGGGACTTAGTACTTTAGTTGTATTCAACAATAGTCCTAAAATGACTCAATGACCTCTGGGGCTATTCAGCCATCAAATGGATTTGTCTGAAAATTGGGTACCCCTAGTTCCAAGGGCGTTTTTTCCCATTATCCCCATTAATATTGTCATTTGGAGGGTATGAACTGCATGCTTCAGACGTTCAGACGGATCAAACACGGATACTTTTCAAAAAAGGGCTCAGCAATCTTGACCATTCAATGGCCATGCAACAGGAACCGATTTATTGGAGGTACCTACCATATATAAGGCCTATGTAAGGGAATATCCCCACAAAATATGGCCAGAAATATGGTACTAACGTACCTCCATAAATTGGATCCAGGAATTCCTATTGAACCATCAACAATTTTAGACGTTAATATTGTCATCCTTCCCATTGACTTTAATATTTTTCAAGATGGTTATTGCACCACCAACCAGGTTACTATTAACCATCATTAACCATATCAAAACCATATATTAACCATTATTAACAGTATATTATGAGTAGAGTGGGAGAAGCATCCAACCCAGAGCCCACTTTGGGCGTTGTCAACCCGACTAACCTCAGTGGGTCGCAACTTTTGCCACCTTGCCAGTAGAACCTTGCCATACCATTTGGGCCATCAGTGAAACACTGGACCCAGCCTGGTCAATCCAAGTTTGCAAGTGAGCAATGCAGAAGACTGGGTTCCGACTGCAGATGGGAACACAGATCCCACCTAGGTCACAAACAGTGTCCGCTATCGGCCGAAAGCACAGGGGTGTAGGTTTTTGGAGCCTTTTTCATGGTGCGAAGACGTCATGATCAAGTGTATCTTTGCAATGTATGACATGTCTCCAACTGGAGCCTTTTTCATGGTGCGAAGACGTCATGATCAAGTGTATCTTTGCAATGTATGCCATGTCTCCAACTGGAGGCTTTTTCATGGCGCGAAGACGTCATGATCAAGTGTATCTTTGCAATGTATGACATGTCTCCAACTGGAGCCTTTTTCATGGTGCGAAGACGTCATGATCAAGTGTATCTTTGCAATGTATGCCATGTCTCCAACTGGAGGCTTTTTCATGGCGCGAAGACGTCATGATCAAGTGTATCTTTGCAATGTATGACATGTCTCCAACTGGAGCCTTTTTCATGGTGCGAAGACGTCATGATCAAGTGTATCTTTGCAATGTATGACATGTCTCCAAATGCACCCATACGAGCTTTGACGACTTCTTGGAGTTCAGAGTTTAAAGCAGAAAATAGGGTTCATGCCAGCAGTTTCCAGACTGACCACCGTACCTTGGCAGGAGGGGTCGAGTCATATATGGCCATAATTTTCCCAGATGCATCCATCAAACTCTGGATCTAACTCCAATAAACATTTGGTCTGATGGAGCTATGTTCCACTTTGGAATCGAAATGCCTGGTGCTTTCACGGCTTGATGTATAGAAACTCCAATAAAGACAAACAAGTTGGTAAAATCCACGAAAGTTCCATTAAAATATTGCGTTTTTTTTTCTAATCATATGGGAGCAAAATGGGTTCATAAAACAACAATGATGGGACTAATCTATGTTAAGCACGTTTTAATGGCTATAAATTAATCCATTAAGATCCATTAAGGAGAACTAAAATAATTAACAATACGCATGATTATTCTTGTGTTGTTTGATGTTTTGTTATTTTCTATAATTGCTATAGTACTGTATCATGATTTCTATTATTCTGGGTATTCCTGATCACGACCTCACTGCGGCCCTATGCCATAGATGGTTATGTAGTAGGCAAATGATCCCAACATCACTATCATTATTAGATGTTTTCACTATAATATCCTTCTTAGTGGTGATCAACATTTTTCACCAATATTTCCTCACTAAACTGATGAATGATCTGGTTAGTTGGGATATCATTTCAGGTCAGTGAAATATTACAATTTACCCAGATCATTATCATTAATTCCCATCACCATCCATCACCCTAGTATGAAACACCTCATAAATGGTCCCAGTTATGTAGAAATTCCCTACTAAACCATGGTTTCTAAGGGGATGTTTAATATTAGGGGGAAGGGATTATTAGTATGGCGTTTACCAACTCGCAACAGCAACTTCTGGGTCCAATGACATCATCAACTTCGTTTCGAACATCCCCCTTGGCTAACCAGGCATTATGTAAGAAGCATCAATTAAGAATGCCAAGGACAAGGGTTATATACGGTCAGATCTGCTGTGGATTTTTTCTAGGTGTGTTGTTTGTTAATATATATATATATATTATATATATAATCATATATATATATACACTTTATGTACATACATACATTTCTATATCCGCCAGGAATCAAACATCTACACGCCTACACGCCACCAGTTCTAGATGCCAAACATCACGCTGACGCTCCCAGTGATTCCCTGCATGGCGCTGATTATCACCGGCCAAAATTCTCAAAAATTGTAGCCGGCCTGGTAAACGTTTACATAACTATGGAAAATCATCATTTCTAATGGGTAAATCCACTATTTCGATTGGGCCATTTTCTATGTAGCAAACTGTTTGTTTACCAGAGGGTAGGTTTGTTTTGGAACCCAATGGCATCCGATGGCAATATGGCAATCTCAAATCTGGGAGGTCACCGAGGTGACCTCCCAGCAAGATGTTTTCCTTTGTATGTTCGAAAGCAACTATTGAAATGGGAAACCTTTACAGGCTCAAAAATTGTTCATAACTACCCTCTGGCAAACTAACATAACTATGGAACATCCCATTTTTCATAGGTGAATCAACTATAAATGAATCATTTTCAATAGCAAACTGTTAATCATTACCAGAGGGTATGTTCTGATCCAGATGTCTTTTGGAGCTGCTGGTGGACCAAACGAACATCAATGTTTATTTTTTTCCATTATAAATAGAATATATATATATATATTCCCATCTAATCACCAGCAAATCCCTGTAATTATTGGGTAAATCCAGCATTACTGGCCAACTCCTCATTATTTTGGTGATATTTGAATAGGTTTCCGAGGGGTGGTTGTGCATCCCCACATTGCAAGGGGTGGTTCCCACAAGCCCATGGTCCCCAGAACCTTCATTTAGTATATTTGCATATATATATATACTATACACATATACATATTTTTTTTCTACATGTATATATATATATATATACATACACCCATGTTTGTTGGTCGAATCCACGTTTTGTCAACTCTTCAACTCATTATATCCCCCAATTTTGGGGAATCTATTGGCAATACGTATTTTTTTTATGGCCCCCTTAAGCAAATCCAAGATTATGGTTGGATTTACCTGTGATCTCCATCAAAATTACCATTCTCCCAACCTCTTGGGGAGTAAGGAGTCCCCTGCCTGATGGCTCTCTGGAAGCGTGGCTGGGCGCGATTTTTTGGGGCTGGGTTTGGGCGAGGCAAAACGAATGTATATGTTCATGGCAATCCATAGCAATTTTACATGGGAAAATGTAGGAAACTGCGGTATTTCTATAATGTATGGTTATGTTGTTGTAATTTAAAGTCATGTTGTGGCAATGTATATTGATTTTTGCAACTCATAGCAAGTTTAACGGATTTTGAAGTAATTCACAATAGACTGATAGTATAAAAACATATTGTATGTTGTCTAGTGCAATTTTGGTAAGTGTATTGTAATTTATGTTAAACTATTGTTTTTTTGGTCGGCAAATAGCTGTAGGTCACAGATGTCGCTGGAATCACGGTTACTACGGGGGAAACACCCCCAAATGGCCTTATTTGATTTGAGCTATTTTCAAATTAGTGAATTGTTGTAGTTCAGCCATATCTACGCGAAAATATGTGAATGATTTTGAACATATAATGATACATACATGTCTCTACCATTGGACTCTATGAGGTACTCAAACTTCTATGGCAGTTGCCTTTGGTTCATGTTTTGGAGTGCAGGTACATGCAGGCACAGATTTACCACGGATAAAAAACATGCCACATCTGGCAAACTCTGATATAAGTGTGGTACCACTTTTTACCACTCATGTATGGCAAGTTTATATAAACTGGTTGGTGGTTTGGAACATGTTTTATTTGTCCATATATTGGGAATAATCATCCCAACTGACGAAGTCATATTTTTCAGAGGGATTGAAACCACCAACCAGTTACATACTCTCTGGTAAACTAACACAACTATGGAAAAACACCATTTTTAATGGGAAAATTGTATTTTACCACGGGTCGTATGGGTCAAAGTTGTGGTTTGCCATACATTTTAAGGATCAAACTCTGTGGTCCCCTAGGGCCCTAGGGCCGGGATGAATGTTGAGATGACAACCTCACTGGCCGACTTGACAATGATGGCTACTCAAGCATTGGCTTTGGGAAGTATGTTGATTTTGAAACGGTCTTTTTTTTCCGATTTCTATTTTGTTTTTTTGGGATTTACTACGGCTGGGATGCTGTTCTAAGTGTTTCGGATTTGTAAGCATTCTGGACATGAAGAGCTGATACTTGTGTATATGTTTGAAGCCAGATGGAGAATATACAGAGTGTCCCACCAAAAGGACATGATCAAGTCGAGGGTATCCTAGGTCTGCCATGTTGGTTTGAATAAATGCGCTAAATAAACCCAACCATACATGGGTGGTTTAAACCATCCCCAAATGGTAGGTTTATGATATTGGATTTACCACACGATACAGTACTTGGTACAGTAAAACTGTTTGAAGTGTAGGTTGATGGGACAACTTTGAGCCGCGATGAATTTGAGGACAATTTGATGTCCAAGTCGCCTCTATTTTTTTTGGGTTGAAGCTGAGTCGGGCCATGAATGTAGGCTAGACCATGAATGCGTTCAATCTTTCCATTTTTTTTTCCGAGGTTGATTTTCCATGCCCATCGCTGGAAGCCCAGATACCAAGAGATTGCTTCGGTTGGTCTCAGGATGTTTGCAAGCGGTGCCTCTGACAATTTCACATAGCTGTAGAAAAGAATATGTTCTAATAAGTATACATCATTTGCAAATGGACCATTTTCCATAGCTATGTTGAATTGTCGTAGGGTTTATGTTAAGCAGGAATCACAGACGGGTTTTGAGGGCCATTTGTCGGGTTAAATTTTGTTTCTGCCATCCCTTCCGTGAGATTTCAGGTATCATTCATGGTGGAGAGGGTTGAACTGGGATCTTAGCTGTCAAGAAGGTGAATTTCCAATATGTATGGTACATTGCTCCAGGTCACAGGTGGCGAAGTTGAGATGGGTACCCTCTGGTGTCGTCAAACGTGGAAAATCTCACTAATTGGAGATTTATAGCTAAGAAAATCATCAACTGGCTGGTGGTTTGGAACATTTTTTATTTTTCCATATATTGGGAATAATCATCCCAACTGACTTTCATATTTTTCAGAGGGGTAGGTCAACCACCAACCAGTCAAATGTTGGATTTGCCTGGCCATGCTTGATTTCCCGGGGGTATCTCAAGGTTGTTGATTCCCTCCATGGTTTTTCTTGATGCACTCGCAAAGATTTGGTCGGAAGGAGAGCAACTGGTTGGTTGGTGGTTTGGAACCATGCATTGTTTTTTTTGACTTTCCATAATATATTGGGGATAATAACTTCCAACTGACTTTCATTTTTCAAGATGATTAAAGCCACCAACCAGATAGTCTTGGCCCTCTACACAAATTGCCGCTCCACCTGTGGCTCCGAGTAGACAAACTGTTGATCAGCCGGAAAGGTCCTGGAAATTTGGCGGCGCGGAGTCACGGAGTCATCGTGTGCGCCCACATGAATAAGCCTGGTTTCTGTTCACATCCTTGAACAGAAAAATCTACTCCTGTGCTTTTCAGCATTGTCCTGTCCATCAGCATAATGTTGGATACTGATTAGTGTGGGCCCCCCAACAAATTTAGGCTACTCAATAACCTGGCCCCCCCTCAACAACTTGTAGCATAGTCAACTTAAGTAAGGATTTCAATTGACATCAATCTACTTTCAATAGATGTTCCTTTTTAATCCAAGACAACATCGCCCAACAAGTTTTTGTGCACAATAGGGTACCATCGAAACAATTACATTATTGAGGATCTGGGTCACTCATGGGGTACCCCCTTGAAAAATTGTTTGGGTGCTGTTTTTTAATAAGGGTTTAAGAAGGCATCTAATTATTTGGGAAACCTTGCATTTTCAAGGCTTTAACATAGATATGGTTCTCTAAAGTAAATGGACCAGCTATACCCAAAGAAAGGTGGATAAAAGGTGTGTGTTTTTTTCAGCCCAAAAGATCCCAAAAGTGTTTGTGCACAACAGGGTGCCATCGAAACAATTACATTATTGAGGATTTGCGTCACGCATGGGGTACCCCCTTGAAGCATTGTGTTGGTGTTGTTTTTAAATAATGGTTTAATAAGGCATCTAATTATTTAGGAAACCTTGCATTTTCAAGGCTTTAACATAGATATGGCGTTCTAAAGTAAATGGACCAGCTTTACCCAAAGGTGATAAAAGGTTTCGCGTCTTTTTTAACCTCAAAAGTTTTTGTGCACAATAGGGTACCATCGAAACAATATGAAACAATTACATTATTGAGGATCTGGGCCACTCATGGGGTACCCCCTTGAAACATTGTTTGGGTGCTGCTTCCTAATAAGGGTTTAATATGGGTTTAGTAAGGCATCTAACTATTTGGGAAACCTTGCATTTTTCACCAAAAATAATAAGTACCCTAGATCAGCTGGGTTTAGATCAGAAGACTTTGTGAACCCCCATGCGCATAAATAAACTCAAAATAACTTAAAAACGCATTAAAAAGCACTTTTTCACATATTTAAGCATGTTATCCCATTAAAACGCATGTTCTTATCATTTTTTTATTTTTATATCATTTTATATCATTTTTTTCTGGTTGGGATACAGGTAAATTGGTGGATTATATATTATCTGAGGGACATGTGATACCAAACGTGTTATTTCTGGTGATTTTTTTGAGTTCATTAATCACATCTTTATATTTTCGGTGTTGTGTGCATTGCTGGTAGGTAACCTTAATAAATAATCTAAAATGTCTCTGTTTATACTTCCATCTTTTCCACCCGTTCCTGATATATAAATAAAGCGTCTTGCCTGTCTTATATAATCCCGATGGGTTTCTGTATGCATTTGTCAATCCGTGTCTGTCTTCTGTTGCTTTTGTGTTGGCTATGTTCCTTTCTTCTTTATACAGTGTTGTATTTTGTCTGAATTGCTCATTAAGATTTCTTGCAAAGTTGTTCATCTTCTCATCTAAGTCTCTTTGTTTCTTGTCCGTGTCGTTCATCAACTCTTCTTTTCCTTGACGCATTAATTCTTCAAATGCTACTCTACCTATTCTTTTTGCGAATATATAATCTCATCTCTTCTCTTGTTAATACATGTTCTATTGCTTCACCTCCCATAATTCTCTGAACAACCTCTCTCCCAAACTGCCTTCCCACCTGTCTCAATGCATTAGTCATTGCTATTCTTCCAACTCCTGCTACAACTCCAATCATTTATTTTTATATTAATGTTTGATAAAAATCATTTCTAATAATAGATCTAATCATGAGTCATGAGTAATAGATAAACATATAAAACTATTTTTGTAGATAGTAAGTATCGCAATGCTCAATCAAAATCTTCGCCTGACTTTTCAGTGGAGTTAAACGAAAACTCAGAAACACCAGAGGAAACAAAACTCTATGTAACTGATATTTCTATTCCAGCGGTGTGGAAATCTACAGAGGTGGGTTTCTATGAATATATTTATGTTGTGGTCTTCAATGGCGATACTGTACATTAGTCAAAATATTAGGGTATATTTAGGTAATATTATGGTAAACTGTGATTAAAACATGAAACAATCACAAGAAAGAAATCAACATGAAAATAACAAATCTCAAACAATCTCAAAAAATCTCAAAAAATCTCAAAGCAATACTTTAAAAATAGCAAAAAGGTAAATTAAAAATCTCAAAACATCTCAAAAAATCTCAAATCAATACTTTAAAAATAGCAAAAACTCTCAAAAAATCTCAAAAAATCCCAAAAAATCTCAAAAAATCTCAAAAAATCTCAAAAAATCTCAAAAAAGCTCAAAAAAGCTCAAATAAGCTCAAAAAATCTCAAAAAATCTCAAAAAATCTCAAAAAATCTCAAACTTGATGATAGCATGAAAAAATAAAGCTTAAAAAAAACAAAAAAAAAGTTTTTTTTGGTGTTTTTTTATGTTTTTTTGCTTATAGATTGCATATGTTTGTTGAAGTCATTGCCGCAGTCATTTGTCTTTCAGGGTTTCGGTCTCATTTCCCCCGGTAATCGCCTTTGGCATCATTTGATTTTTGAGATTTTTTGAGATTTTTTATTTTCATGTTGATTTCTTTCTTGTGATTGTTTCATGTTTTAATCACAGTTTACCATAATATTACCTAAATATACCCTAATATTTTGACTAATGTATCGCCATTGAAGACCACAACATAAATATATTCATAGAAACCCACCTCTGTAGATTTCCACACCGCTGGAATAGAAATATCAGTTACATAGAGTTTTGTTTCCTCTGGTGTTTCTGAGTTTTCGTTTAACTCCACTGAAAAGTCAGGCGAAGATTTTGATTGAGCATTGCGATACTTACTATCTACAAAAATAGTTTTATATGTTTATCTATTACTCATGACTCATGATTAGATCTATTATTAGAAATGATTTTTATCAAACATTAATATAAACATAAATGATTGGAGTTGTAGCAGGAGTTGGAAGAATAGCAATGACTAATGCATTGAGACAGGTGGGAAGGCAGTTTGGGAGAGAGGTTGTTCAGAGAAATATGGGAGGTGAAGCAATAGAACATGTATTAACAAGAGAAGAGATGAAATTACTCGCAAAAAAATAGGTAGAGTAGCATTTGATGAATTAATGCGCCAAGGAAGAGAAGAGTTGATGAACGACACGGACAAGAAACAAAGAGACTTAGAAGGGAAGATGAACAACTTTGCAAGAAATCTTAATGAGCAATTCAGACAAAATACAACACTGTATAAAGAAGAAAGGAACATAGCCAACACAAAAGCAACAGAAGACAGACACGGATTGACAAATGCATACAGAAGCCCATCGGGATTATATAAGACAGGCAAGACACTTTATTTATATATCAGGAACGGGTGGAAAAGATGGAAGTATAAACAGAGACATTTTAGATTATTTATTAAGGTTACCTACCTACCAGAAATGCACACAACACCGAAAAGTATAAAGATGTGATTAATGAACTCAAAAATCACCAGAAATAACACGTTTGGTGGATCATGACGATGGCCATGTGCATATGGTTTCAGACGATAAAAAACAAGTTTCTTCGCTTTTTCCATGTTTTCCATGTTTTTTTCATATTATATCATTGTTCTTCGGTTTTGTTCGTGTTTATCATCTTACTGATGGTTAGAGATTTGTTTCCGATCTAAACCCCTCCGATCCAGGGTACTTATTTAGTTTAGTGAATTTTCAAGGCTTTAACATGGATATGGCTTTCTAAAGTAAATGGACCAGCTTTACCCAAAGAAAGGTGTATAAAGGTGGATAAAGCTCCTCCGGAAAAAAAAAAGATCTGAGAAAAAACTTTCCACAATAGAGCACCACCCCCACCGTCCACAAGATACTCAATAATTTCGGAAAAATGTCCCACAATAGAGGCCCATCACACTAATCGGTATCCAACATTACCGACGTGGAATGTATACAAGCAGGTTCTTGTAAAAGACATTTTCGCCGCTGAGCCTATGCATTGCATATATTTTGTTGTTGCAACCATGATGCAGAACACTGGAGCATTAAGGGTCCAGCTGAACAATATATAGTCAGAAAACGAACAGCTCCGTCACCGTGGTTGGAAAATATAGGGACAAGCCGCTGGCCAAGCGTAAGCAGCTGGGAAACCGCCAAGTTAGGCACCAATGCAGCCGGGTGACGTGATGGAAAACGATTTTTTCGGGCATTGGGGGACAAGCAACCCATAAATTCCAGAAAGGAGCGCTGTGAGCCCGTGTGTTTCTGCGGTTTTTGCGAGCTACATATATATATATATATAAATATATATATATACCCAACAAATATTGTTTGTTGTTGGGCCGGTGAACGGCCTAAGGCAAAAACCGGTAACGTGGACTTCAACATGTTTTGGCAGATCTCATAAAAGATTTTTGTTTAGAAAAAACGATTTGTTTGGGACGCTTGTCAGCTGGTTGAACGACGGCCCTCAGAAATTTGAATTTTGGATCCTAAAATTGACAGCCAATACGCAATGATACACATATACGCATTTTATGCAGTCTATGTTTTTTTGGCCCTAACCTATCCCCTTTTGGAGAGACAATTTCTCGCCCGTGGCCTTCAACCAATTATAAGCTGTTGTTTTGCGGTGGTTTTGAGTTAGGATGCTGCAATCCTGCAACGAGAAGCCAATGCCGCATGCGTACAAGTAACCGAACAATTGAGCAGATGAGTGGTTTGCCCTTCGCGGGCGCAGAAATTGGTTTTCTCCGAGGCCTGATGCGGCAGAACAGGGCCTACATCTGGGGGTGGGGCGCTTAAGCTCAGGTTCATGGGATCACAAAAAGCAAGTTGGAGTGCAACAAAAGCCTGTTTCAGAGGGTATTCAGTTGAGTGGCTCATAGGTCCCGACGATTTTTTTTGTTGGAAGATCATGTTTTGGTATGGGACACGAAGTCTTAGGGTTGCTACCGTAGTGGTGTTTAAGTGAAAGTTGGCGCGCCTGTAAGCCGCCTGTAGTTTTAAAGCATCCGCTTTCTGGAATTTGCTGTTTGACATTTAGCTAGACTCGGACTGCGGGGTTCCTATTCGCAACATGCACCACTGAGTTCAATGAGAGCATTGAAAACATGCCAAGGTTGAACCCATCAATGCGAGATGCCCAGTGTGGTGGGAGTGTGGCGATATGATAATCTCACCAAGATTTTGGGTCAATCTTGGATGGGGAGTTCAGTACAACTGTTTGGTTGTGCCATAAACAGGGATATGTACTAACAAATTTAAAGATGCGTAAACTCATTCCAGGATGTCCAGGATCCAAAATGAATAATTGTCTGGCATTTTTTAAACCTCCAATGCGACTTTGGAAACTGATATTTCCGAATGGAAATGATTATTGATTGATGTTACATGGGTTTATGCCCAAAACTGCGAAAAACTGGCCGCAAATTGGCCATTTCTGAAAAGACATGTCAAGTGCCACAGATGTCTCAACTCACGCATACTACTGGTATCCAACATATTTTTTTTAAAGCCAGGTTCTCTCCCGGGAAAATGATCTACATGTGGGTTTTGCAAATTGGAGGGTATGATTCACATAGATTGAACGTTTATCCCAAATGATTTGTGGATACTTTCGGCCGCTTCAGGTGGCCCCAAAAAACCCTACTCCATTTACGCAATGATACCCAGTCGCAGGTGTCCTAAAACGTATACAAAAATTGGAACCGATACTCCAAAACATTCACACATGGATTTGCAATTTTGGTGGGTACCCGATTTTCCATCTAAATCCACTGGTTAATTTGGTATTTTCCATATTGCACGTCCATTTTAAAGTCATCTCCAATTTGCAGCTCAAATTGGCATGCAAATTTGTATGCTAAATCGTTGTTGTCAATTTTGGGCATAGTCATCACCAAATTTAAAGTCATAGCAACTGGGATGCAGCTCAAAGAACCAATCCGAGGAATATCCGCAATCTTTGGTCCGACGGAGTCAGCTGCCGGAATGGAGAGGTCAACGGCTTCTGCCCGGGGGCTCTTTAAAGAACAGCTGTCCTTGTGGCTTGAAAAAAAACTCGTGTTTTCCCCAAACAGTGTGGCCACACTGAGGGGTTCTTACGGTAACAGCTGAGGCCCGGTGTTCAATCGAGGTGGTATCCGTTGCGTTTTGCATTTTCCCGGTAAATTTCCATACACAAGGGCTCTTGTGAAATGTCCATGTGCATTTCGACTGCGCAGGCTCGCACAAAATGCTGGCCGCGGAGGTGTCCTCGGCCATACTAAATGGCTCTTGTGAAATGTTCATGTGTATTTCGACCGCGCAGGCTCGCACATTATCATCTTCATCATCATCACCATCGTCATCATCATCATCACCATCACCATCATCATCGCCATCATCATCGCCATCATCATCATCATAATCATCATCATCACTATCACCATCATCATCATCACTATCACCATCATCATCATTATCATCTTCATGATCATCCTCACCATGACCATCATCATCACCATCGTCATCATCATCAACATCATCGCCATCATCATCACCATCATCATCATCACCATCATCCTCATCATGACCATCATCATCGTCACCATCACCATTTTCATCATCATCAACACGACCATCACCATCAACATCAACATCATAATACATTTTCCTTTTACTCCCCCCACACTGTTTGGGGTCTCTTGCCGGGAGAATGATTTGTTGGGGAAATACCACCTGTTGGTTCCATCAACTAAATTTGGTGGTAGAAGTAATCAATACATCCCTGTGAATGCAGCAATTTGGTGGTCACAAGTTTGAATCCACAGCGGTAAAGATCTCATTTACCAGCGCATTGTAACCACAATTGTCAACATCTACTAGCCGAGTTCCGCACTTCCAAGTGACATTTCCAAGATGACCAAACCAACCCATGACGGATAAATCTTGCTTTACACGTGATGATATAATTTAATAGTTTCTTTCTCAAGGATAAATTATGATAAGTTTATTTACAATGCTGCTAATGTTACATTCTGGCAGGAAAATTGGATGGTTAACCACTACAACTCTCGAATTTTGTGGCTCCACTATGGTGCCCGTCCTCGAGGCTATGGTTTTTTGAATCGCCACTCGGAGACGTTGCTGCCATGTGTGTCAGATGCCTTAGAGGCTCGTCGTGGCGCTAGGTGAATGGAACCAGCTGACATGGAGCTGTCCTGAAATAGGATTTGATGGGATGTTATGGGATCTCCTTGGATTTTATCGGGTTTTGTGGGATTTTATAGGGGTTTTATGGGATCTAATAGGGAAGGAAAACACACATATTCGAAGGAAGTTTAGAAGTCAAACTTCCGACAATATGGACAGATGAAAAGCAGAGAAGGGAAGAGGCAGAGAGAAGAGAAATAGAAGAAAGAAGAGTAGAAGAGAAAGAGTAAGAAGAAAGAAGATGCAGATGCGAGAAAAGGTAGGGAAGTCGCGAAACATTGTGTTTTTCCAATGATTTGGGGCTCCGGAGGGTCGAAAAGTAGGCTCGCTAAAGCGGCGGGTGCGGAGCCAGCTGGCCAGATGAGAGATGAAAAATTGCACGCCGTTGTGGTGCGAAGCACATTTGCAAGTCAAAATGTACAAAACACCAGGGGTTCGGACCACTTTTGGAAGTTGAGATGTCGAAAAAGTGCACGCCGTTGTGGCGCGAAGCACATTTCCAAGTCAAAATGTACAAAACACCTCAGTGTCGGACCACTTTTGGAAGTTGAGATGTCGAAAAAGTGCACGCCGTTGTGGCGCGAAGCACATTTCCAAGTCAAAATGTACAAAGCACCTCAGCGTCGGACCACTTTTGGAAGTTGAGATGTCGAAAAAGTGCACGCCTTTGTGGCGCGAAGCACATTTCCAAGTCAAAATGTACAAAACACCATTGTCGGACCACTTTTGGAAGTTGCGATGTCGAAAAAGTGCACGCCGTTGTGGCGCGAAGCACATTTCCAAGTCAAAATGTACAAAGCACACCATGTACGGACCACTTTTGGAGGTTCAGATGTCGCTTCGCTTCACTACACTACATTACACTACACTACACTCCACTACACTGCACTGCACTACACTACATACACAACACTACAACTACAACTACACAACTACACTCCAGTAAACTCCACTACACTAAATCACACTACACTAAATCACACTACACTACACTACATTACACTACACTCCACTACACTACATTACACTACACTACACTACCTTCCACTACACTTCACTACATTACTTTACACTACACTACATTACAACTACAACTACGAATACACAACTACACTCCACTACACTAAATTACACTACACCACACTACATTACACTACACTACACTACATTCCACTACACTTCACTACACTGCACTACATTACACTACACTACATTACACTGAATGACACTGCACCACAGATAGACAGGTCGACAGATAGACAGACAGACAGACAGACAGATAGATAGATAGATAGATCGATGGATGGATGGATGGATGGATGGGTGGATGGATAGAGAGGTAGACAGCTAGACAGATAGACAGATGAAAGAGAGAGAGAGAGAGATAGATTAGATAGATAGATAGATGGATGGATGGATGGATAGATAGGTAATTAGGTGGAAGAGAGAGAGAGAGAGATAGATCGATAGATAGCTAGATACATAGAAGATAGGTTGGTAGGTAGGTAGATAGTCAGAGTAAGAGAGAGAAAGAGAGGAGACCTCAAGCACCTTTCGGTCCATCAGTGGATTCACTCTGCCATCCCTGATTCACAACAACCAATCTCTCCTATAGGTTTCCTATTTTTGAAATTTCCGCCGCCGCCTTGTGCGGTACTACTGGTATTAAATGAGGTTTAACATGGATTAACCACGATTTTCAGGGATTTTGTCACCATCAAACAGCTGGGGATATAGTTGATACATGATGGTTGATGAGTTGTGGTACGTACCCCCAAATCACACAAGTCATTAGACCATGTCAATGGGAATTCCAGGATCCTAAAATGGAGGTACGTTAGTACCATATTTCTGGCCATATTTTGTGGGGATATTCCCTTACATAGGCCTAAAAAATAGGCCTTACATAGGCCTTATATATGGTAGGTACCTCCAATTTAGGTTCCTAAAATGGCCATTGACCATTACTTAGTGGACTGATTCCGACCATTTATCCCATTTATCCCATTTATCCTACTATTCATCATTATTCATCCCAAATTATTCGATCTCTATGGATCCAAACACTTTCTGTCAAGGTACTGAACCCCCAAATCATAGCCCAAATACTTCCTGTGAAGGTACTTGGACCCATACAATGTGGGGCCCCCAACCGTTATAAGTTGGTTTATAACCCCCCCTTAACTACTTCGTTATACCTATCATAAAACCATAGAATTCAAGTGAAATAAACCAACAACTCAGCTATCGAACGGGGGCCCCACCTTGTACAATGTGAGGCCCCCCAGTTATAAGTTGGTTTAGATTCGCCCCAGTAACTATAGTTATAAGTACCATAAACCATAGTTATTGGAGTTATGTTCACCAACTTAGCTATCCAACCGGGGCCTCGCATTGTAGGGAATGAGAATTTCTGCTCCGAACGACTCTCACGCGCTTCGCGCTTCCAGGATGCCGAGCGATCCCTTCGGTCACTTGGAGTTCGACCCGGCCGACCTGACTGACCGCGTGTTGAAGCGAATATCAGTGAGCGAAGAAAATGCCCTGGTTGATTGGTTACAAAAAAGAGTGATACTACAATGTGAGGCCCCGGTTGGATAGCTAAGTTGGTGAACATAACTCCAATAACTATGATTTATGGTACTTATAACTATAGTTACTGGGGCGAATCTAAACCAACTTATAACTGGGGGCCTCACATTGTAATTTACATCGGATTATGATAAACCATAGGGACACCGTTTTCAACCAACTAGTATCATGAGACTGCAGTGAAATCATTGGATACATAACTAAAACCACAGTGGTTTGCATGACCATAGCGGATGTATAACCTTGAGGGTGCCGTTCCGCTGAACGTTCAGTGGATATATTTCACCATGTTCATCGGGTTTATACATCTGGGTGGTGGTTTCAAACATTTTTCATTTTCCACAATATATAGGATAATCCTTCCCATTGACTAATATTTTTCAAGATGGTTGAAACCACCAACCAGTACATGTTTATAGCCCAACCTATGGGGACTTAGTACTTTAGTTGTATTCAACAATAATCCTAAAATGACCTCTGGGGCTATTCAGCCATCGAATGGATTTGTCTCAAAATTGGGTACCCCTAATTCAAAGGTTTTTTTTCCATTATCCCCATTAATATTGTCTTTTGGATGGTATGAACTGCATGCTTCAGACTTTCAGACGGATCAGCACGGATACTTTTCTAATGGGCTCAGCAATCTTGACCATTCAATGGCCATTTAGGGCTATGTAAGGGAATATCCTTTCAAAATATTGCCTTATATGGTACAGTACCTCCATTTTATGATCCAGGAATTCCTACTGAACCATCAACAATTTAGAATTGACCTTGCAGCCTATACCCTGCGTGCTGCGCGCGAAGAAAAATTCAGTGAATGAAGCAGCGAAAGCTGGTATGGATCTCATTTGGAATTTACCAAGAGAATTGTGGTAAACTGGGGTATATGCTGGGATATGGCCTTGAGTCAACCTCCAACTAACAGACCCTGGTGGATCAATGAGGAAGTACAAACCCAAAATAGTGATTATAATTATGTTCTACTAAAATGTTCTTCCGCCAATGGGTTCCTTGATCAAGGGTTGACATCAATTAAAAATAGGCTTTGACCCAGCTAAACATAGATTTTACAACAAAGCAAACATGTGGATTAGTCTTAACATTTTTAATATTAACGTTATATTGATCCAAACATTCTTTTTTACATGAAAAAATGTGGATTTAATCCTTGGGAATCTTAAGAAACGGTACCCTTAACCTACAGGTTCATTGGGTTCAAGCCGCAAGGACACTCGGCTTGTTTCCACATGTTTTAGCATGCTTCTTCAATGGTGATTCGCAACACAAGACCTATGAAGATCCAAGTGGATTTATCCAAAAATGATGCGGTACAGTGTATGTGGAACTCCACGCGGATTTATCCAAGAAAAAACCAAACTTGTGAGACCTACAGCCAATTGAGCCGTTAGGAAGACCCTCCTTGTTTATCATGCAGAGTTTTACTACCTGGGTTTCTGGGGATTGTCATAACCCATATTCAATAAATCAACTAAACATAATGAGATAGTTATAATAGTTGATATGGATAACATGACCATCATTATGTTGTTTTTAAAACATGACCATCATTTATAACAGCTATGGATAAGGCTGGTTTTCATAGTGCAACTGATGGCCATTTTCACGGTAATCATTCGAATAAGAACAGCCATTTGAATTTTGGTACTATGTGAGGCCCCCCAGTTATAAGTTGGTTTAAGAGCCCCAGTAACTATTGTTATAAGTACCATAAACCATAGTTATTGGAGTTATAAACCAACTTAGCTATCTTGGGGGCCTCACATTGTACCCTATTTGTGGACACACCGTTGCGTTCTGCGGGGAGATCGAAGCTACCTACCGCACACATGCATTCAACATCAACATCATCAACCCAAGTGGTGGGTGGTGATACGCCCACTTGTCACCCCTGCAGCACCTGCATTGGGATGCACCGTGGCTTTTCGAATCGGGGCCACACTCCGGATGAATGGCTCGACATGGCTCGACGCAGAAGACGGGAATCATCAGCAGGTGGGTATTCTTTATGACCCCCAGTCGGCAGAAGCCATATTCAATGGGAATTTCAGGATCCTAAATTGGAGGTACCTACCATATATAAGGCCTATGTAAGGCCTATGTAAGGGAATATACCCACCAAATATGGCCTTATATGGTACAGTACCTTCATTTTAGGATCCTGGAATTCCCATTGACATATAGTCCGATGATATAGTCCGATTTTGGGAATGGGTCATAAAGATACCGGAAGAGTTGACAAAGACACCAGACCTTTTACTGCGAGAACCAAGTAAGTCGGCAGAAGCCATACAATAGTCAGATGTGAACTTACCTGCGCCATCCCTTGGCAATATAAACCAAACATAACCAAAATGAAGCTTGATGTTTTAATTAGCATAGCATTTTCTGCATCAAAAATCCATTTGCACCCCTCCATTGACACCTACCAGTGATGGTTTGGGTCCCTGGGGTCAGTGGTTTTTTCATTCCCCGTGGATCCCGAAGCAACATCTGGCTGTTTCAGTAATCCAGTGGAACCAACGAACTGGAATCTTCCATGGCTCATGTTTTTGTTGTAAAGAATCCCAGAAGTTGTCCATAAACCATCATGAACTATCCAGTGGTTAGGAGGGAGCGATTCGGAGCTAGGGGTATTCATATTCCCTATATATTCCCTATTCGATGGGGAGCCAAGGAGCTACTTAGAGTTTCCCAACCATCAAATAGATTCAAATAGTGAATGTTCATAGCTAGCGACAATCTACATGGAGACAAAATATGGGTACCACCCACTGTGTCCGAACTAATTTGCCTTCCAAGCTTGAAAGTACAAAAAAAACAAATGTTGGACCCATCAGCATATATGGGTATAGATCTAGGTAGAATCGATCACCAAGAAGATAAGAACGAATCACAAACATTCATTGGGATTACCCTCCGGAAATTCCCCATTTAGTTCAATGACTTTCCCAGCGAACCAAACCTCCCTTCAGTTTGGGGAATTTCCAGCCATTGGCGAGGTTCTTCAAGCAGGAGAAAGTTGGGAATTCAACAGGGCTTGTGGCCAGGGGAGACCAGGGCAGAGTAGCTAGTTATTGGGTGGTGTGGAGTTTCAAGTTTGGTATGATCTGCCTGAGAAGATGTGGGAGCAACATGGGAGAGTTACCGCCACGTGTGGACACCCAGCTTCAAGGTGGGGGCCCCAAAAGCGGTAGCTAAGTTGGTGTATCAGTAGGTTCACAACTGGGGTAACTATGGTTTTTGGGTGTTTGTGGATGGTAGCTGTATACATCTATGATGGGTTCTATCAGGTCACAGTGAGGGGGGGTCTGTGGACCGGGGGCAACTGTCGAGGTCCGTTTGAATAGGATCTGAGTTGCTATTTTCACTCAAAATCCACTCACAATCCACTCAAATCCTACTCAAAATCCACTCAAATCCTCTTCAAAACCCACTCAAATCCTACTCAAACCATAAAAACGATAGATTGAGGTGGTTTTGAGTAAGCACTTTTACCTCAACCGGACCTCAAACCGTAAAAAATCTTCAACCGTAACTCAAAGAATTAAACGAACCTCAACTGAGGCTCAGCGTAGGCTCAGCCCACACTCAGCTGCGGCTTAACTGGTACTCAACGTATACTCAACGCATACTCAACTGATACTCAAACGTATATCACTGACTCAACCGTACCTCAGCCACACCTCAAAGCCATTATTTTCTCAACACTTGGCTATGGCCAATTCCCCCCCTAACCATTCTACTATCAAGCGACATGTCTGGAATGGACCACGACGGCGAGTCTACCTGGATGTCCCGGCACTCGGTTGAGTATACCCACTATGTACTGAGTAAAGTGGTGCTATCTCACAACACCCAGCTGCAAGACTGTTATAGTCAGCTGCCAAGTGTTTACCTAGCCTTGCTGATCTGACTGATCTGACGATTTTTTTTCTGTTGGTGATTGTTATACCTAGCCTTGTACACCTAGCCTTGGTGTCTGTTTTTACTTTGATTTCTATGTTTGCTCCACGGTAAACTGAACATGAAGACTTTGATTGGGACATCGGACATCATCGGAATCTTTTTAGCAGCCTCACAAGGACACCACCATGAAACACATGGAGGTGTCCTAAAATGGGTGGTACCCCAAAATGGATTGCTTCTAATTAATGGAAAATCGAATTAACATTTTTATGATTTGGGGTACCCATATTTTAGGAACCTCCAATTTAGCATAAGTTCTGGGGTGGTCATTCCCCCATTTTCATAGGGTTTGATTTACTGTACACGGGACCTGATTCTCAAGGCGGATGCCGAACTCAGTCTTTCGATTCCACCAAGGCCCTGTGATGATGATGATGATGATGATGATGATGATTATCATGATGATGATGCTGATGATGATGATGATGATGACGATGTTGATGATGATGATGATGTTGATGATGGTGATGATGATGATGATGATGAGTTATGTAGCGACCTCACGGGATTGTAAGGCGAGTCACCCCGAAGTGTCTAGGGAAATTCCTAACAATTGGCCAGTGATGGTTTTCAAGCAAGGTACATGTGTCAACCCAGACGTACTAAACTAAACCTTCCGACTAGTTACAGGGGTCATGTCAAAAAAGTGATCAACGGCTATTTAGATGCTACAACAGGTGTGAGAGTGTGAGATTGTGCCAAATCTCCGGGCAAAAGAAACGGAAGACGGCAAAACACTCATCCGTCACGTGCTGCTGCTTTCTATGCGCAAATGAGCAAATCTCAATCAGCCTGGAAAAGTCCACCTTGTCCATGGCGCGCGCGCGAGCAGAGAACAGCAAGCACAAATTCCACGTCGTTCTCTGCGCCCGTTTTTTATGCGGCAAGTTTACTGGCAACGTGGGAAACATGCTTCGACCGTGAACCGTGCATGCTGCCTGTCCTTTTCTCTGCAGGACAAGATTGTGCTTCGCTACAGGACCCATGGGCAAGTTTGTGCAGAGGGTTCAA